GACTGCCAGGTGGCTGGCTGTGATTTTAAGTTAAAGCAAAATGTTTAAAAATGACATGTTATTTTTTTATTCCCTACTTTACCCTTTTGGACAAAAGAGCTTCTACCCTGTGCCCCTAGAGTATAGGGCTCTGCGTGCTGTTCTGGATTTCTTTTGGTCAGGTGCTGCAGTCTAGGGTGCTCCGTGTCCTGCTGGTTTCTTCTGTTTACTCCCGCGTGGCTGGTGTTCGCCGCCTGGGTGGACGTGGGAGGGGAGCTGCTGGGGCGAGGGAGGGAGGGCGTGAAGGCTTGGCTTTGAAGACAGCTAATGGGAGAGCATTGCCTATTTTTTGTGGTGCTGTCCCTGAGTCTCTAGCTGAAGGTAGACAGAATGACTCGACCTTCTTCTGTTTGCTTTGAGATCAGGTTTTGGTTTTTATGGTAGAATCCAAGAATATGTTGTTAATCTCTGCAGCACTGGCATTAGTGAAAATTCCCTCAGGACGTTGGCATCTGGTCTTCTCTTTATTTTCCAATACTGTTGCCAGTTTTCATCTCTTTGTAATTCTTCATGAATTTTATAATGGAAATTGGAATAAAGGCATATTAGGCCCTGCTGGTTTGCCTAGATACTAACCCAGAAGTCCTACCAATTCTTTTACAGTAATGAATAGGAAAAAATTATATTAAGGGCATGATTCCATTATTTTTTGTAATATTACTTATTTCTTGAGCAGCCTACTTTAAAATTTTAATAAGATTCCTTAATAAAAACTTACATGAAAAAATTCTCTCCTCATATATAACTCTATATCAAATCAATTACCTCATCAAATGTCATGAACATTTTATCATTTCCATGTCTAAACTCTTTACAGGGTAATGTTTGCATGTTAAAATTGCTTTTTAAGGAGCATGGGATTTACACAAACTGAGTATCGCCCACACCCACATAACAAAGAACATAAGCACTGTAAGGGATTTATATCACTAGTGTAACGGTTAAAAATGTGAACTCTGCGGTTAGATCTGGTTCAAATCCTGCCTCCTCCATTTATTTAATTTTTTGTGATCTTGGGCAAGTTACCTAACATCTCTATGCATCAGTTTCTCCTTGTGTAAAATGTACTGTTAGTGGTACCTGCCACATGGGCACTCACATGAGGATTTGGTGAAAGAATACGTATGAAACACTTAGCACGGTGCCTGGAACATACTAACAACACTGTCGTTCCGAGTGAAGATGATGAAGATGCTTGCAAAGGGTTAATAGGATGGACATTACTCCTCTGTGGGTATTTCTTGAATTTTTTTAAATTAGTAACTTTTTTGTCAAAATTTCATCTCAGAAAATATTGCCCTGGCTATTTCTATTTCTAAAAATTTGATACTGCCTTACAGGGTGTGTCTTTTTATGACAGATGGTCAGCAGCTAGTGGTAAAAGAAGTATGGAATGTAATAGCATTTCACTTATTTATGGGAAATGTTTTACTGCCCCACCCTTCAGCTAGCTGGAAAATGAAAGTCAAAAACTGGAAACTCTGTTTATAAATGGACAGTGCTGTGATCTCAGTGTCTGAAACTGTAGACTTTTAGAAAATATTTCTAGCATATTGGAAACTAGTCACTGATCAGTTTCTCCGTGTCCTGTTTTTTTTTAAGTTAATCCAGAAAATATGAAATTTGAGGTAAATTAAAATTGAATACTGAAATGTACCAGTCTTTAAGACAAGAGGCTAGAAGAAAACGATTAACTCGTAACAGAGACATTTAAGCCAATAGAGATATTTGTTAATGGTGCCTAATAATAAGCTAAATGAGTGACAATATAATACATTCAAGGAGATACTGAGGTCCTGCCTACATTTCACTAAGGAGGCAGTTTAGCATAGTGGTTAGGAGTGGGGACTTTGGGAGTCAGTCTGCCTGAGTTCCAAACCCAGTTCTATCACCTGCTTAACCATGTGATCTTGTAACTCAACTGCAGTGTGCCAAGGTTGTCAAGAATTATATCAGTGTCAAGAATTAAATGAGATAATACATGTATTTAAAATGGTATATGGCACATAGTAAATGCTCTATAAATGCTAGCCACTAGTGTTCTAAGTAGTCTAGCCAACACCCTCCCCCCCCAGTGACTCCAGTTTGAGTGTTATGGATATGCCTGAAAGATGCCCCTNACGCCCCCCTCCCCAGTGACTCCAGTTTGAGTGTTATGGATATGCCTGAAAGATGCCCCTTTCACTGGTGTAGAGGTAGGTCTCTGTCACTAAGCGGTCCTTGTGAACTGACCGCCCTAGCCATTGATGTAGATTGGGGCAAGAGGTGAGCATTGTGCGGTAAGGGTCCTTGAAAAGTCCCATAGGCGCCTACCTCACAGGAGCTAATTAGAGAGCTCTCCTTTGTTCCTATCAGCCTGGAGCCCAAACAGATGCCATCATGAAAACACCCCTTACCTTGGTTCACCTAACAACAAGGAACTTGTGTGATTATTGAAAAATCACTTACTCTAAGCATCATTAGTCATTTTTTAGAGATTTACATTTCACAATTGGAATCAACAGTCTGGTGAAGATAGCGTTGCTTATCCAGCTAAACTGTGCCATCTGCCTACAGGGAAAAATAAGAAAAATTCCTAGGTAACAGATTGTAACGTATCTTTTTTATATGCAGCTCATAATGAGTAAACTGTGTGACTTAGCCATATTTGACACTGACATTTTTCTAAAAAGAGATTCTCACATGGGAGTATCATAACATGCGTTAGAAATTAAAGTTATAGCTATATCAGTGTATTTCACAGGAGTACTCTTGCTAGCAAGAAGAATGATAGGAATATTAATGTCCATTGTACCTACATATTATTATTGTATCTGCATCTCAGGTTCTAGTCTTATATAGTGGTTATATTTTTTCATGTCTGTGGAGTCAGAACCCACATTTTGCAATGAAAATTGTTGTTTTTAAGCAATCAGCTTATTCAGCACTTAACACATCCCAGGCACTGTGCTAAGTGCTTTACCTATGTTGCCTCATTTAATTCTCATAACAACCCTATAAATCGGTACTATTACCCATGTTCTGCTAGTGATGAAAACAAGGCTCAGGTTTGTCTAGTCAGTAATTTGTGGAGTTGAGAGGCAAATTCTAAAAGATTATGTATACTCTTAAGGACAACGCTCTTTTGCATCTGAGAAAGCGAGGCCTTCAGGACTGGTCAGAAGTAAGACCATAAACTACCTAAGTAAGTGACATTGCCCACTTTCTAGTGCTTTGGTTGTAAGGAAATGAGTCTTTGGAATAATGTACAAAGGAATCGTGAAATACTACAATATCTGTAGCATTACTTATAAATACATACAGAAACAGAGAAGATTGAAGCTAACTCATGTTGTAACAGCAATAATCAATCCCATAAGCATGTTACAAGCTTGATGAGGCCACAGTTTATTCTGTAAGATTGTGGTGAGCACATAGTTGATAATTGCTAAAAGCTGTTAGAACTTACAAAACACTTTTTAAAAAAATCCAACCCACTTTGGAGCATATAGCTTTGAGGAAAAGATTGTATCATATGCTAAAACTTTTGTTCTGCAAATGATACTATCAAGAAAGCAAAAAGACAACCCATAGAATCGGAGAAAGTATTAATAAAACATGCACCTGATAAGGGACTTGCATCTGGAAGATAAAAAATAATGGTGATGGGAGTTGAAGTTTTGGTTTTGTTTTGTTTTTAATTAATTTTGTTTTCACATTCCCTTACTTGGCAAATACAACATTGCCGATCACAACCCAGATTTTTGTGAAATTTCATGGTCNAATTTTGTTTTCACATTCCCTTACTTGGTAAATACAACATTGCCGATCACAACCCAGATTTTTGTGAAATTTCATGGTCCTTAGAATCCCAAACCACTGCTGTAGACAACTAGCTGTGAGTTCAGGGTGTGGATATTGGGCCACCTGCAAGCATGGCCTCTCAGTTACCTCAGGAGCCTTAACTAGTTATTTAGATGCGTGCAAATCCCAGGGTGTTAACAGTACTTGGCAACCTTCTGTTGGATTATTAAGTTATCCACAGCTCTCTCCCAATGATTGAGGTTGTGTCTAACACCTTCCGTGAGGTTAAGTATATACTAGCAAAATGACCTGATGCTTCACACCCCGCATACATCTGATGGTGTTTATGCTCCCATTTTTTAAGAACACTATTTTGAGAGTCACATAACCCATTATGTAGGTAATAACTTACTATGTGCCTTCCTCACTGTAACATAAAGGGGTTGGACTAAGTGCTCTCCAAGTTTTTTTCAGCGCTGTTGTAGATGGCGATTGTATTTGCATGTACCCTCTTCTTATATTAACGAGGTACACGTTTCACATGTATTTGTATTAAACATAAGTTCTAGCCATGTTGCCCATCTGGATGTGGAAGACATTAGTTTTTCTCACATAGGCTGGTATTCAGAAGGCATGTTGCACCTGTAATATCGATGCTGCCACCTTGGCAGATGCTCTTTCTTCAGTTCACTGTGAGGATTCAGTTTGTACCTACACAGGATGCCTGGAGTTCTCGTTTCGATGCTGTTTGAATACAGCCACGATGTCTATTGCAAAAGGTCACAAGACTCATCCTTTTAAATATGCTTGACACTGACGTTCTCATGCAAATGCTCAGTCACTGTGATAATGTAGACAAATGAAGACTACTTGAGGATAGACACACCAGCCAGAGTTTGGAGACCTGAATTCACGACAAGGCTGTTAACTGGCAAGTTTGTTATTTCCTACAAGTGTAAGNCAGAGTTTGGAGACCTGAATTCACTACAAGGCTGTTAACTGGCAAGTTTGTTATTTCCTACAAGTGTAAGGATATNGAGTTTGGAGACCTGAATTCACGACAAGGCTGTTAACTGGCAAGTTTGTTATTTCCTACAAGTGTAAGGATATGAAGTATTAAAATCATCCATACCCATTTGGGAGAGGAAATTAACGTTTCCTAAAAAATTCTTTTCTAGTGAAGGAAGCCCATCCCCCAGAGTGGAGCTGCTGCATAACATCGACCCAGACTTTGTGGACATTTCTCCATGTGAGTACTTTGCCTATTGCTGCCAGGTTAAATCTCTGTGGCTCACGGTTTTCTTACCTTGTGTGCCTCTAGCCTTGCTTTCTTCTTTTCCTCTTGAATTTTCTAGAAAGGTAAACAGTTCTCCATGGCACCTGTTGTCCCAGTTCACGGTGGCTTTGGTACCACCAGGCTGAATTCTGTTCTCGGCTCCGTAACGTATTACCTGTATGACCTTTAGGCCTCTTCACTGTCCGTGCCTCAGCTTTCCCACCTGTGAAAGGAGAACCCATCGATCTCAGAGGCTCCTTTTCACTGCAAATGTCATGTTGCTGTTACCCTGTTCTTACCTGAGAGCTCCAGCCTTCTTCTGGAAAACACAAGGTCAAATAAGCCATCATATCATCCGATTGAGCTGGCCAAGTGCCGCCCAGCACCTGCTGCATCTCACACGCGTGACTCACTGAGCAATTGTGGAAGTAACTTAGCATGATTCTGTCTGCTGCCTAAATTAACCCTTAGGTAGCTCTGTTAATTCTTCAGGGAAAGAAGCCATGTAATGCTCTCAGATCCCAACAGGTTGTAGTGGTCCCGTATAGTACCGTGCTAGGGGCCTCAGGGCTTGCGCCTGGAAAGCATTACCTAGTATGCCCTTTGCCCAGGTTCCATCATAAGGCCTCCTCTTGAGACTGTCTTCAGAAAATAGTGCTTTTACATATCTTTCATTCACTTGGGTGCTCACATCCCCTCCTTTCTAAACATAGCACTCCTCCTTCCTTCAGGCTCTCCTTACTTCTTTGCTCTCTCCAGCCTGTGCTAAAAGCCACCACGAGGTTCCCCTGCTCAGAGAAAGACCCCTTGCTCCAGGCACTCCTTGCTGTCTTCTCGCCCTGCTAGGCACTTGCCATTTCCAAGCATGCAGGTCGTCATACTTACGTCTTGAATGTGCTTTTCCCTTTGCCTGAAGCTCCTTTCTCTGCCTCTCTACATTGTTCCTTATTCCTTAAAACCCAGTCCAGTGTCCCATCTGTGTGACTGCTTTCCATAGCCCCAGAAGAAGCTGTCATTCCTTCCTCTGTGCCCCCTCAGTAGGTATCTCTGTAGAGCATTCACCAAGTTCTCTTCTATGAGTCTCCCTCCAGCAGTACAGGACAGCTGTGCAGGAAACCTGTGAGAGAGCCCGAGGGAACGGAATGGTACCATTTAGGCTGATTTGTGGGGAAGTCTGGAAACATCCAACGTGGTAGGGAGCGCCCATGCTCCCAGGTTAGGCCCCAAGATCATGCAGGTGTGAGTTTAGCTCTAATCGGTTCTGAAAAGCTCCAGCTCCAAATCGCAAGCCTCCCCTAGGTTCTAGCCAGCATGCCTCAGACCAGGAAGAACATTGATTTCAAAGGCATTAGATCAACCTGCAGGCCCCAAGCTTGATCTAGGTTTTGAGGTAATGACCTTACTCCATCTGCACCCACAACCCACTTTGACAGTCAGATGTGGCATCCTGTGCATTCTTAGCATTCTCGCGTACATCTGCTGGTGTGGCGCACGCACATATACCTGACACACATGCACACACATAAAGCACCCGGATTCTGCTGATAGAGCTCGACTGTAGATGAAGAGCACTGACAGATGTTAGCATTTTCCACACCACCAAAGGCCAAGCCTTCAAAGTGATTCTGTCCAGCTTTGTTACTATTTCATTTAAAGGGCCTCCTCTCTTTAAAGGGTATAATGAGATGTTATTTCTGCTCATGATTACAGGGTGAAAGAACACTCCCCCCCCTCCCCCCCCC